CTGTGATGATTTGGATTTGATCTACATAATTCGAGGGCCGTTAGTGGCGTGTTTCTCGAATTAAGATGATTTGGATTTGATATATTTGTGAATATTCCACGGTTTGTGAAATATTGGAGATGTTGATCTTTAAAAATATCTAAGAGTTCATGGGATATTTGAGATCTTGAACTTTAAAATACCCAAAGATTATGTGATATTTGAGATCTTGAACTTCAAAAATACCAAAGAGTTTATGGGATATTTGAGATCTTGAATGTTAAGAATACCGAAGAGTTTATGGGATATTTGAGATCTTGAACTTTAAAAATACCCAAGAGTTTATGTGATATTTGAGATGCCTTTAAGGGAATTTCGTACCATTTATATAGGCGTGAACTAGGGTTTAGAGTTGTGTAGCCTCCAAGAATCCTAATTTGAATTGAACACACCTTGCAGAGTCTACACAAAATTTCAATGTCTACAAATGTCCCATGCTTCAAGTCTTGTCAGAGTGTAGACTTTTTGAAACTCAAAGACGAGGCTTGAAGTATTCATACTTAAACCTCTGCGGTTCTGTGACATCACCTTTGCAGATTTGATCTATGAGAGAAGAGATGAAGGGCAAATTTGGTCCCACTAGGCGTGTCAGAATTTGTTTGCAACAAATTTTAAACATATGGAAAACAAAATAAACCACACAAATAAAATTTGAAGAAACATGAATATTTTATTGATAAATCAATGTGGGTACAATTCTGTTGAGCCTTGATTCTTCTCTCATAAGATATTTATCCATGATTCAAGGGCCGTTTATGGCTTATTTCTTGATTTAGGATGATTTGGACTTGATCTACATAATTTGAGGCCGTTAGTGACGTATTTCTCAAACTAGGATGATTTGAATTTGATCTACATAATTTGAGGGACATTAGTGGCGTATTTCTTGAATTAAGATGATTTGGATTTATATATTTATGAATATTCCATGATTTGTGGAATATTTGAGATGTTGATCTTTAAAAATACTCAAGAGTTTATGGGATATTTGAGATCTTGAACTCTAAAAATACCCAAGAGTTTATGGGATATTTGAAATCTTGAATTTTAAAAATACCCAATAGTTTATGGGATATTTAAGATCTTGAACTTTAAAATTACCCAAGATTTTATGGGATATTTGAGATGCTTTTAAGGGAATTTCATACCCTTTATATAGGCGTGAACTAGGGTTTATGATTGAGAAGCCTCCAAAATCCTAATTTGAATTGAACACACCATGTAGAGTCCCAACTTGAATTGACGCATCTTGTAGAGTCCCACACAATTTTAATGTCTACAAATGTATTTTGGGGTGAACAGACGGAGTTAACATTCGTTTTGAATACTTTGTCCATTTGTGGGCAAAGTATCTGTTTTGGTCTGTGTTTTAAGGAGGATATGTTTTAATATGTAGTGCCCAAAAAGTATCGGTTTTGAAGGTGAGTGCGAGAAGTGTAAATGTAGATAATTCTACTTAGGTTGATAAGAGTGAGACACAAATAAAATAAAGTAAGAATATAACTTCCCACTCTCTTGAGGACGGTGTATTTCACACTTTCTACCACAAAAACATATATATGGCAACTATTCCACTTTAAAATAATATAAGGGTTCATACGATCCTCCAAAAATTAGAGTGTATAGCAATTTTTTTTTTATTGAAGTTTGAGTTGGTTTTAAGTCATTTCCCAAATTTATTTGACTTCAAGATTTTAAATATTAAGATAAATTTAAATAATAAGGTTAATAATATTCCTCATCTTCCATTTTATAATTATTCAGAAGCGTGAAATTTAAAAAATAATATAATATGCATGTGTTATTATTTGTACAAAATAAAAAAAGAGTACTACACCTAGAATAAAAAGAAAACTAATCTAAATTTGACCTCTGCAAAAAATGTGTGATGTGCTTCTTTACTTTATACAAATATGGTAAATTACATAATTTATATAATGAAGGATTTAGAGCACAAAATATTTAAAGTATATTGTTCATTTTCTTTCCTTTTATGGATTGTATTTGACCATGAAATGAGAGATTATTATTCAAACTTTCTTCCAAGAAGCAAAAGGTTTTTATATTTATAGTTTTATTGTAAACTCGTGCTGACGAATTGATTGTCTTTTCTAATATTCTCTTTAAAATAGTTTAAATAATAAAATTTATGTAGTGTGAATGTGTTTTTCAGTATTTAGTATCCTATTAGGGTAGATAATGATGGAGTACTAATTGAGTAAGGAAGGAGTTAATATAAAGTAACATTTTAATGTACTATATAGTCAAACTACAGTAGAAAAACATAATATCATGCTTATCTGTACTTATTACTATAATTGACAATATATATTTCTAAAATCTTTTCCCCTTTGATTATTTATTCATATATAAAGTTTTCAACAAAAGTAACTGTTATACATTTTTATATGAGTTGTGACATGAATTCTTCCAACTTCATTGCTCCAATGGATTATTTTGATAGCTTGTCAGAGGGTTGCAAATTTGAAATAATTTCAAGAAACAACTCCAGCCGATGCAGTAAGATCAATAGTTTTATCCAAAGGGTTCAAATTTGTTGCTGAATCAGATGAAATTTGGGGAAAATTTTGCCCCCGAATTATCAAGAAATAATTGATGGATCTAAGTTTTCTATTGTTTGCAACACCTAAAAGGAGCTCTTTTTCCGTTTGTGTGATTCACCCATTCTCCTTGATGGAGGCAAACTGGTAACACTCAATTTTGATGTGGTTATCTTTTATGATTCTATATTTTTTAATATCGATGGTGTGTACATACCTAAATTATTTATCAATACCTGCTACCTCCCACACAGGGCCGACTCAACAACATTGGGGGCCTAAAGCGAAACTTAAGAGAGGGGCCCTAATATTTTTTTTCATCATATATAGTTTTATTTAATATCTACTTTTCTAGCTATTTTAGATGTAAAGTCATTAGGTACTGTATTATAATCAATTTGTTTTAATAATTCCTTTTCAAATGATGATATAGTTAATTCATTCAATCTCTCTTTAGACATTGTTGATCTTAAAGAAGATTTAATCAATTTTAGTTTCACAAAAAATTTCTCAGGAACTGTTAACATTATTCTATAAGCAATATGTGTATTTGGAAAAGAATCAAGTCTTTTTATTTGATTGAGTATTTTAATTAGATCATTATCTTCTATTGTATTATTTCCCTTAACACTTTAATTCAAAAAATAAATCTAAATCATCAATATCAGAATAACTATTATATGATAAAGAAAGTTCAAGGTTAAGACAATTTTTTTTTAATTCTCATCATCAAGTGATCTCAATATTTTACCACTAAATAAGAAATCAAAAATATTTCCATATGCTTCAATTGGTTCAAATCTATTTTGAAGTGAAAAAATAGTTTGATCTACTCTACATATATAAAACAACCAATTCTAAAAGGTTCTTCAAGGGACTTTGTGATTTCGCTATCCACATTTTCATCAAATTGTTTCTTACGAAATTCAGGTTTATTTTCATCTCATATGCAATTTCCTTAGTAGAAATCATAACACTCATAGTACATATAATTTTTTTTAAATAACATATATATAAGTAATGATCTCAAGTGATGACTTTAGTGGCCTAGGGGTTAAGACGGCCCTGCTCCCACAAGAGGTGATATCAAGATTTAAGCTTTATGGATTAAATTTTTTATGATCTCAACCTTTAACTTGTTATTTTTAATGTTGTGGGTTCACATCTACTAGTTTTTGCATTTATCATGAATTTTTACACATAAATTCCTGCTCCGTATGGAAGTGTTGGGTTAAGATGAATCCTTAATTAATATCTTTATATGTTTCTACCTCTTATCAACACATGTACGAGATAGTGACGGAGTCAAAAACTCATGTATAGTGATAAAAAAATACAAGGTGTCATCCTAGGGTTTAAACTCATAACAAAAAATAATGTATGAACTCTCGTTGGTACTAAACTAAAATTTTTTCCTTATGTTAAGTGAATTCAACTGTTCATAAATAATTAAAAAGAATCATTTAACCCTATTTGCGTTACTCTAATTTTGACCAAGGTGATTCAATTGAACTCTTTTCCTTCCGTACCAAAGTACTCTGATAGCTCAAGTAGGTGAAAAGAAATGATCACCTAGTATTTTTTTTATATTCACCAACATGTAAAATCTAATCTCTTATAATTTTCTATCCAACAGTAATTGCCACACTTATTGCACTTGATGTTTATTTTGTACTTATTTTGTTGGGTAGGGGATGGAGGGGGGGGGGGGATATTGAGTGTCAATTTTTATTCCGTTTCGCTCTCCAAAGTTTAGGTTATTCAAATTGAACAATGTGTCCTTTGGGTGCTTCCTAGTATACCATTATGAAACTATATTTGTGTAGCAACCATTCAAATAAATACGATGAAAATATGCTTGGAAATAAAAAAAATACTTGGAAGCACTTTCTCTGATCTTACGTGGTGTGCTTTAAATTAATCAGACGGAAATTTTATTTTTTCTTTCTCAGAGTTTTTTTCTCGATAAGCATAGTGGAAAGAAGGGTATAATAATAGCACCAAGAGATCTTGTTATTTCAGATAGTGATAACCCACAAACTTGGAAATGGGGTAGATGCCGCGATTCCATGTCATCTCTTTTTATATTCTTAATTTGATCTACAACTTTATTGCTCTTCTTATAAATACTTATGCAATGCATTTGCTCTTCTTATATGTTATCTGATACATCTTATGCACCTGAGCTACAACAAAATAAAAATCATAATGCGACAGTCAAAATTGAAAGGTTTTTCTAGTTTAAAAATAGAGGAGACACTATATGTGTTAGATGTCAATATGAAAAAGCCAACAAGTTTTCTACAGAGAATCGAAGTATCTGAATAAGAAGGCATTGGAGCAGTGCATGCAAATGTGTCTGAACCATTAATGTAACCTTCTATCTGTGGTTACTAATACATGGTATCATTCATTGATGACTTCTCAAGGTACGCATGAATTTACTTCTTAAAGAAAAAGTCTGAAGTATTTGAGAAGTTTAAAGAGTTCCAACATACCGTGGAGACTGATATTGAAAAGGTAATCAAATGTCCATGTATGGACAATGGGAGAGAATACATGTAACATGAGTTCAATGACTACCTTAATAAAAGATGGTAGGACAACAATTGACTTGCCCAAATATTTCGTAGAAAAATGGAGTAGTTGAAAGAAAAAATAGACACTTGATAGAGATATGAAGAAGTATTTTGAATATATTGCAGTACATTGTGATAGTCAATCTGCGCTACACATTGCAGGAATCCATATTTTCTTGAGAGAACTAAACATACATAAGTTGACAGTCATTTTTTTCGAGACAAGCTCCAAGATGGCTTTATTTCCCTTCATTATATTGTTACCACAGATCAACTGGCTAACCTATTCACCAAAGCTCTTACTGGTGTTAAACAAACTTGCATCATGTCAAAGTTGGCTATGAAGGCCTCATATCCCACTTAAGAGAAGGGGGGGGGGGGAGGAGGGGGTACATTGAGAATGTGTTTATGTTGATTAGTGTAACTGTTAGCTTAGTCAGTTAGTTGTAGTTGTTAGCTCTATAAGTAATTATTTTGTTAGAAGCCAACTATACACAAATGTCATAGTGATATAATACACGTGTGCAAATACGTTTTCCTTTGAGAGGTTTTATTCAACAAAGTAGTTTGCTTTCCTTCTTCTTCTCTTTACACTGACTTCTCCCTCTCGTTAACACTTTGATGTCTGTCTTATATAAAGTGCAAACAAATGTTGGAATGTGAAATATGATATGTGTAGCCTACAATTATAAATAATTATTACCTTCATGTTAATATGCACTGAATCTGACATTATGACAATTTGGTCTGGATACAAAAATATCAAAAATTACATTATGTATTCTATGTGCATATTTGGAAGAGACTAACTGTTTATTATGAATTCATAACTGATAATGGCTCAACTTGGAAAATATACACAAATAACGTATTGGGATAGCAGACGTTAGATTAATATAACAACTAAGAGTTAATGTCACCATGAAAAAATGTGGGGCAACGGATGGGGTTGCTCCTCTCTAAACTAGAGGTTTTGGGGTCGAACTCTGGGTATGAAAAATTCTTGGTAGGAAATACTTCCCCAATAGGGCCCTACACGGCTCCAATCTGAATTAGTCGGGCTCTAATGCAGATATCGAACACCAATGAGAAACCAAAAATAAAAAAGAACTTTATTGAATGTGAAAAATTTGAAGAGAAAATGATGTGCTCAATTTTGTCCGATATATTAATGTATATACATTTTTTTTTTAAAAATGTTAAATGATTTATTTTAAACTAAAGGCTAATACTCCAACTTTGAAGTTAAGAGCTTCCCCCTATTAGCATAGTATAGTATAGCACATTACGAAGATGGTAAATGTTCACCTATGGTTTAGAAAAGATGGTTCATGCCCTTGAAAGGAGATGCCTTAAATAGGAATGTCTTAACTACCAATAATGGTTTTTATATGGCGCAAACTCAGATGGTGCGCAGGCTCCTATCAATGTTTTGATGGTAAAAATAAAAAAATGCTATAAAAAGTTAATTAAATAATACCATATATGACTCAATCTTGTAATTTTTTTTAAAAAATTCGCATCTGATACACCTACTAAAGAGCTAAAGCCCTACATATCATTTAATTATTTTTTTTAAAAAAATTTCCTTACAAATGTTTCTTGCAATGCTTTTGCAGATTCTCTGAAACGGCATATCTTACTGCTATAAATCAATTGGATATTCGTGGAACAATAGGCACAAAAATGTTGCCACCAAAGACAGAATATGCTGCTTATTTGGCGTTCAAGTTTGTAAATGGGTGCGGCAATAACCTTCCATCTGCTAAATCAAATATTAGGTTTGTTAATTATGAGAGTGAAATTGATGCTGAAAATCAGGCCAACACTGTGCACCTTCCAAGATTGCAAGAAAGTGGGGGTATCCCAAAAATGAGAGGAGATGGATGTATGGAAGTAAAATTGGGATATTTTGATAGCAAGAAAGACACTGACGGTCCTATTGAAGCAAGATTGTTTGAGAAGAATCACTTTTACAAAATTGGACTCATTGTTGAAGGAGTTGAGTTTCGTCCAAAATGAGAAGTGGATATGGGAATTTAAGTTTTATATGTTTTTTACAGGAAATCTTTGAATTCTTATTATGATACTATTTCAATGTTTGCAATTTACTACAGACAATTCATATACATTGCATATCCTTTAAGGCTTTAGTATTACTTAATAATTTGGACGTCCTCTTTCTACCGGAAGGTTACCTTCTGGCTAAATTTGTGGCCTATATTTTGGATTTAACTTTTAGACGGTATAAAAAAGTGAAGTGAAATTCCTTCTTCCGATATTTATGATGTTGAATTTTCTTCTCTATTTAATATCTCTGTTAGTTTATGTGCTTCTAGTTTTATATTAGAAGAGAGCTTTGATGAAAGGAGAAATATTTTTTTGGATTTCAACTGATGGATCAGTTTCAACTATGTCGTCAAAGGAAGAAAATATGGTGTTATCATTTGGATGTTGTTTTTCCCAAAGATTTCTATTCTTTGGGATAATTCATCATATTGATCTTCATCTTCTTTAGGTGCTAAAGCTAATAAGGCATGACAATACTGTAAGTCAATATTTTTAATGAGTTTTTGTGGAATATTCAGAGAAATGATAATCCTGCAAAGTAAAAATAAATTTGACTAACAAGTCATTGTGGTAATTTCTCAAGTACCAAGACCAATTACAGAGGATGCTTGGCTGATTCCAACTAATATTCCTGCAGCCTTCAGGTCTGTATGAGCCCATCCACGCACCTGTTCCTTCTAACATCTTGTCCCCCTTTGTCTCTTTGTCCACGTCATAAGCGTCCCAACCCTCCTTAGTGTGTAGCATTTTTTTTTTGCTTTCCCTTTATCGAGAATGCCTTCTCAGGTAACCAACTTTCCTACCTCTCTTTGTTATTTCCCTCAAGTGCCACATGTATTCAATCAATTTTCACCCTGTACAATAGGAAAACTAATGGAATGACATGATCAATTACTTGGAAGAAATTAAATTATACCCCATCTCTCCGATGCTTCTCAAACTTTGTCCACAATCTCTTTATGCTTGATTGGATCTATCACTGGAAAAATGAACTGCTTACAGATTCCTCTATTTTAGTTGGTTGAATGAATATTCGTGGCACTTCGGTGTTTCCAGCATCAACAATTCCTTTTGATACTAGCCTTAGTATCATCAAAGGCTTTTAGCTCGTTCGTTATATAAAATGAGACTTTTTGTCATTACATAACAAAAGATTTAACAACAAAAAACAACAAAACTTCAGTTGTCTTTAAAAACAAACATTGTGTTTAAAGTAACAAGATGATACAATACAATAGGTAATAACCAGCATCTAAAGTGATATTCTCAGTTCTCATTATAATTTATGTTATTTCATTAAGATTAGATCTTGTAACGCGACGATGCAGAAGTTCCATCTAGAACTTTTTATGGAAGTACTCATGATAGTCTTTAACTGCGGTTGCACGATATTTTGGAGGGTTATCTTCTGACAACAATTCAGAAATCGGTCCATAAAGTTTGGAATATGACATTGGATCTGTGCCAAAGAAGCATGGAACTGATACTCTTGGTCCAACTTTATTTGCCAATACTCTGTGCTCAACACTTATGTACTTGTCATTTGATATGAGGTGAAAAAAAGCAACCAAAATAAGCAAATGGTATATTCACTCTTATCGATCGTACATGGATTAGAAAAGAAAAATACTAGCCTGCAGAAGATCTTCAATGTTGACCACAAGAGCACCACACATATGAGGAACATCAAACCATTCCCATTGATTCTGGTGAAGCACTTGGAGTCCTCCGATGTGATCTTGTAGAAGCACTGTGAGAAAATCATTGTCAGAATGTTTGTTGGTGCCTATGGTGAGTTCTGGCCGAGGGCATGCTGGGTAGTAAAGGGCCAAAACACCAAGCCCCTCCGGCAATCCATATTTTTGGGATGACAACGATCAAGACCGAGACCTTCAGACAATAATCCAAGCAAGGAATAGCCCAATTCCATCATATGCTTAGAGTATACTCAATTTTTAGTATTTCCCTGCAACAATTTTGTAAAATTAATGAAACACCACATATCAATTTTTATCACCACATAATACATATTCAATTATTGGTTGGCTTTCTAATTCATATTAAGAACATATACCTACATGGTCTTGGAAATTCTTTTGGATTGGGAGGATTAGGAGCCATTTTAATTAAAATGCAATATCTCCAATTTGCAGCTGGAACAGAAGGGCTATACAAATCAAAATTGCTAGCATGAACCATCGTTTTTGTGATATCTCGAGTGTAATACTGTTTCTTAATCTCGAGACTTTCATCTTATGGATTAGTATAATTCCAAATGGGAAGCAGGGGATAATATAAATACTTATTACTATTTATGCACAACAGTATAGTTAATATAAATTCCTAATGTCCACAAAAAAAGAAGAGGTTATAAACAAGGAGATCTTCATGATAAGTTTCAACCCCACCTATATCCCAAAAATAGAAGGCTCATGGATGGTAGACAAGCAGAAAAAAGCAAAAACTTTCGTCACTATATTTAATTTTGTTGAGCATATAATTACGCGTAGGAATAATATCCACGACAAAAAATTTCGTCACTATAGTTAATTGTGTTGAGAACAAGGGAGTAACAAGGCACCAAGTTCTTTTAGCATTGAAAGTATAATACTTGAGCTGAGCAATATAGTATCATTATCATGAGAATTTTAACATTTTGTTATCTGGAAAGACTTACTATATACTTAAAATAAAAATAACCTTCTTTTATTTTGCACACCTTAAATTTTATACTACTCTCACTTTCTATTTTTCCTCACGGACTATTTTCTTACACTATATCTGTGGATTACTGATGAGGCAAATGTGTATCAAATTTCGCTGCTCATACTCTGTCATATATATATAATATACCCGGTGACATGGCACACTCTCACGCTAAAATGAGTAATTATCTTTTATTCTGTTTATTGCATTTTCAAAAATTAGTATTTAACTTCTTCCAATATTTTTGCATCTCTTAAATTGAACATTTAGATTTAGTTAAACCATTTGGTATGAAGCAAAATGTTTCCATGGAAAATATTTTCCTTGAAACTATGCTTTAGGAAAATAAGTTGGTTTCTCACTTATTTTCTCATGTTTGGTTGGTGAGTGAAAAATATTTTCTAATATTTGGTTAGTGAATGAAAAGTATTTTTTGGGAAATATTTTTCCATTTTGGCTAGGCTTTCGGAGCAGAACCCGACCCTACACCTGACCCGACTCCCGACTCCTAGTCCAAGACTCGACTTCTAAATGGGGACCGACTCTTGACCTGAGATCCGACTTTCAAATCGGAACACGACCCCGACCCTAACGACCAATCTAAGATCTAATCCAACTACTGAATCAGGACCCGACTTTTGAACCAAGACCCGACGCCAACACCTGATCTAAGATTCAACGCCGACACCCTAACCTGAGACCTGACATCTGAACTACGATCTGAATTTCGGATAAGGACCCAACCCCTACACTCGATGCATGATCTGACTTCTCAATTAGGATCTGACACCCCGACAACCGATTCGGGACCCGACCCTAACACCTGATCCAAAACCCAGTTTCTGAACTACTATCCGACCTCGATATCCAACCTCGACAATTGATTCGGAGCCTGAACTCATCACGTGATCTGGTATATGACCTCAACTCTTGACCCGAAACCCAACCCTGACACTCGACTCAGATCACCACCCCGACACCCAACCTAAAATTCGACCTCGAATGCTTACCAATAAGGTCCCTCAAAACCAGACACATATGGATGGGCTCTCCCCTGCAACAGTGAATAAAAAAGAACTTTAAGACAAACAACATTATCCAGTGAGATAAAAATATCATATACAGATGCAGATTCATGTGATATACCAACGTGGCCTCCCGACAATGTCACTATATCTTTATCAGAGAATCCTATGTTGTAAAAGAAGTCCCTAAAGGGCATTAGTGAACAAATTAGTAAGTGATATGAAACATCCAAAGAATATGTTTCAAATTCAGAACACTAATTAAGTTTTAAAGCACTCTCGGAAATTACTCCAAGGTATCTAGCAGCCATATTAGCAATATTTACAATTTTAACTATAGGATATCACCAAGTTCAGTTCAATGTCATTGTTCATAACATTTAAGATCTCCAACAAAGTTGAATATATATTACTTGCCTTTACAAAATTTTCTTCCATAATAATGAACAATATGTTTACAGACGACACGGTAAGTGCATATTAGCAATAAAATCATCTACAAAATAATTGAAATCCACTTCCACATAGAAGAAAAACCAAGTAAGAATTCTTATACTTAAGTTGTTCAGACACAACATTGTGCAAGAACATTGATGAGGATAATTGAAGCAAACTTCAAAGATGAAGCTCTAGTTGACATGCTGATCTCTTGCGAACTTGTTCTTTAGAGCGAGATCCTTTCAAAACTTCTGCATATTTCGCCAACTCAGCTTTATGAACATTTTCTTGGTCATGGTTATTTCCTTTTTCTTGGGTGATTCAGCGAGACATTTTGACATATAATCTAATGAGCCCACATCACTATATCTCCTTGTACGTGTCGGGTAGTTTCTGCTTTCTCCTTTATTATTGGTTGTAGAGCCTAGATCAAATGAATGGAAATCTATAAATTGTCTGGAGATGGTGTTCTTGATCTGCTCTAGGGCCTAATAGCTCCAGTATCTACGACAGACATATCTGAACAGTACCAGAAGAATAATAAGAGCATCTTGTTGCATTCTCTTCAGTGTTGTGAACCATTTCTGAATGATTATGATGATGGTCCTTTCCCCGTATTAGTCTCATAAGCTTACGAAAGATTTTGCTTTTGTTTGAAGTGTCAGTCTTATGGGCTGAAGAATTAGAAATAGAAGTACCATCAAACTCACCTGAATTCATAAGATGTGGTTCTTGGGAGGATAACTGGTTAGAATCAAGCTCCAAAACATGGATTCCCCTGTC